GGTGGATGGGGCTGTCATCTCACTTAGGATGGGTATAGCCAGGAAGCTGCCTTCATGTGATTAAATCCAACAGACCTTCCTCTGCTATCTTGCTGTGCTTCTTGCTGCCTTTGACACACCAAACATTGATTACACGCTTTCCTCCAAGCTTCTCCTCATCTCTCTGAGGATGTCTTCTCCTTTGGCTCCTCTTCCAGAATTTCCTGGGCTCTTTCCTGGATTCCATTTTCTCTAGGGGAAGGAGGAACGTCTTTAACAGCTCCTGGAGCTTGAACCTCCTCCTGCTACATAGTAAACTCTAAAGTGTTTGTAAAATAGAGTCAAATTGTTTTCGGCCGGGCGTGGTGGTTTATGCCTGTGATCCCAGAAATTTGGGAGGCCAAGGCAGGTGGATCACCTGAGGTCAGGAGTTCGAGACCAGCCTGACCAACATGGTGAAAACCCATCTCTACTAAAAATACAAAATTAGCCAGGTGTGGTGGTACATGCCTGTGATTCTCCAAGATTACTGGGAGGCTGAGGCAGGAGACTCGCTTGAACCCGGGAGGCGGAGGTTGCAGTGAGTCGAGACTGTGCCACTGCACTCCAGCCTGGGCAACAAGAGAGAAACTCTGTCTCAAAAAAAAAAAAAAAAAAAAATTGCCTGTTTTCTTTGTTCTCCACTAATCCATAACCCCTCAGGGCCAGGACCTTATCCATCCTATTTATCTTGGTATCACTTCCTACCTCTAGCATGGTGTGGGCAAGCAGCATGCTCAAATGTTGCTAAATGAATAAATAATTTCTGCTTTCATCATTTTGCCAGCTCTGTGAATGCAGGCAACTTACTTAACCCCTCCAAGTTTCAGTCTTCTCATTTGGGAAATGTGCATTGGAGATAGAGTTTATCTCCTAACCACTGCTTTGGGGATGAAGTCAGATAATACATGTAAAAATGTTTAACACACAGTAAATGTTAACTACTATTACTGGGTTTTATTTGTTTTTGACACAGAGTCTGATTCTGTTGCCCAGGCTGGAGTGTAGTGGTGCAATCATGGCTCACTGCAACCCCCTCCTGCTGGGTTCAAGTGATTCTCCTCCTGCCTCAGCCTAAGCTGGGACTACAGGCTGTCACCACGGCCGGCTAATTTGTGTGTGTGTGTGTGCGTGTGTGTGTGCATGTGTGTGTGTATTTAGTAGAGGCGGGATTTCGCCATGTTGGTCAGGCTGTTCTCAAACTCCTGGGCTCAAGTGATCCACCTGCCTTGGCCTCCCGAAGTGCTGGGATTACAAGCGTGAGTCACCACGCTTGGCCATATTACTGTTTTTTTGTTGTTGATCTTTGTGTAACTTGGGGACAGCCATTCAACTTGCCTAAACCTCAGTATTGTCACATTCAACAACTGTCACACTCTTCCTGTTGGCGTTGTCGGGTCTGGTGAGATGGAGAGTCTGGAAGAGTGTATGTATGTAATAAAGGTTCATTCTGTCTCCCCGAGCTCTCTCCTTTCCCACCCCCATAGACCTCAGACTGCACTGGAGTGTTTTATCCCTTAGTGCGCTGACCCAGATGACAATGGAAAGAAAGTGTTGGGGATTGTGGCTGAGCTCCCAGGCATTGTTTGAAAACAAAGAGCATTTCTTTCAACCTCAGAAGATCTACACGCCATGAACACTTGTTTCCCTCAACTCTGTCTTCCGAAAGAGCTTAGTGGAAGCTAATAATGAATGAAATAAAATTAAAAACGAAATCAACTTACAGCCATTTACAGTCATCTCCAACCAGTTTGGCAAAGCCAGCATTTCTGGGTGTTTTCCTCTAAATGGAGAGTTAGTGTAAGTTCTCTCCTGAAGGAGTTAGAAAGAAAAAAAAAAAAGACTTTTTGCTAAGGCTTTGGAGGTAGGTAGCAGAGTCTTTTTAGTTTTATTTTTTAAAATGAGTCCCTGTTCCCATCCTGCTGGCTTTGTTTTTACTCTTTTTCTCCTTTATTTATTTATTATTATTTATTTATTTATTTTTGAGATGGAGTCTTGCTGTGTCACCCAGGCTGCAGTGCAGTGGCGCGATCTCAGCTCACTGCAACCTCTGCCTCCCAGGTTCAAGCGATTCTCCTGCCTAAGCCTCCTGAGTAGCTGGGACTACAGGCGTGTGCCATCACGCCTGGCTAATTTTTTGTATTTTCAGTAGAGATGGGGTTTCATCGTTTTAGCCAGGATAGTCTCCATCTCCTGACCTCGTGATCCGCCCACTTCAGCCTCCCAAAGTGCTGGTATTATAGGCATGAGCCACTGCGACCGGCCTCTCTTATTCTCCTTTAATATAGGCCTATAATGGTCTATAACCTCGAAGGAGGAGCCTTTCACAAAGTCATCTAGCCGTGAATTTATAGACAAGGGTGGAGAACATCCTTCAGCATTTTCTAGACTAAGGATTATTTATCATTGGGAAAAAATGCTACAGGGGCCCTTAGCATGTATACTAAAAAATAATTATTGACTGAGCCAATTATAGTTATTGCAAACAAACCACAGAAAACCCCCTAATGCAACATTTTTGTCCTTTTTCTCAAGCTTTGTGCGAGAGTTTGTCTTAGAGACCAGCAGAGAACTCTTGACTTCTGCATCCAAGCTGTGAGCTCTCTAAGTATTAGGCTGGGATTGTGAAAACTTTGTTCATTTTCAAATGTGATTGATTGTTTTCATACTGTTGATCTCCTTTGTTGCTTCCAAATGGCAGCATAAAATAATACTTCCTTCCTCTTTATACATTCCGTCCCTAAACAAAATCATTCCAGGAATCCCCTGGGAGAGTCATTAATTCCTGGATAGTGTCATGGGTAAAGGGCGTAGTCAGAATTAGCTTATTCCTTCTTATATATTCCTGACCAAATTGCAAACTCCTCCCCTTCACCTCTGATTCTTCATTATTATCTAGAAAATAGATTGCACAATGGCAGAGACCCCTGGGACTCCCTGCATAGGCGCTGAGGGCCAATTTGTATTGTGGTCAAGATCAGCCTGACTTTCGGGAAGGAAGTTGGCATCTGTCCTGTTTTCAGAGCCATTCTCTGGCTCAGTAAAGGTAAGAGTGGCCTAATAGGCACTTGGAATGGTTCCTTTCTATTCCCATAGCCAAGCTCCACATCCCTAAAGTTCTTTCCTGATCATTTGGAATGCAGAGTTGTTTTCCTTGCTAGGAACACTCTCTCCTATTCTGAGGGCTTGCCTGGACTTAGTGATTCAGACTAACACCTTCCCGATTCCCAAGTGAGTCACCCCAGAGCTGCACTCCAGCCCTGGGCCACAAAGGGGCAAAGACCGAGCTGTTTAAGAGCGCCTCGCTTTTGTAACGTTTGAACTACTCAACTTCTGTGGATTGCGTCTCCCTTTGAGTTTCACCTACATGGCTTGCCAATTTGAATCTGTAATGGCCGTACTTAGGACTCAAAAGAAGAATCAAGAAAAAGACATTAAGGTCTTGAATAGATTATTCTAGGAGTCAGAGTCAAAGACAGTAATTATTTATTGATTGATGGGTGGTGGTAGATTAAAATCCCGAAGCACAGGGAGCTGAAGATCTACTTTGAGACTGAGACAATGAGGTAATTAGAACAGCAGTAGTATCTTTCATTTACCTATATAATCAACATCATTTATGGTGCGGGCCATAGCTTTTCAGAGGCTTATAATTAACACACATGTTCAAAAATACCTTTTCAAGGACTCAGGATGAGCATGTGTCTTGAATATGAGAAAGAGGATGGAAGCAAGGAGAGTTTGTAGTTTCTAAAATAATGACTCCCACAACAAAGAATAAATATGTTTTATTTTATAATCTGAACTGGCTTCTTCCCAGGCACCATCATGAATCTGATTCAACAAATGGCTAAGGTAGGATTCAAAGTGTTGACCTTCTCATGGTGAAAGGAAAAATTAAACAATGAACAACATAAAAACAAAATAAACAACAAAAAAAGGGGAACTGACGCCTGACCAGGCTTAGATGTTGAGACTTAAAATACATAACCCACTGGACTGTAACTCCTTTACTCACAAGCAGCCAGCTGATTCCTACTGTCGTTTGAGAGGTGGCTTGGACAGGTTAGGAGTAAACAGCCTGGCTTCAAATCTCACTTCTACTCTTCCCTATCAGTGAATCTTGGGCATGTGGATGAGTCTTTCTGTGCCTCAGCTTCCCTCTCTACTTCTAATGTGGGGAAATCAACAGTATCTCCTTCATGGGGTTGATGTAGAGTTAGGAATAAAATGCTTAGGACACAAATAGAGCTTAACATTGTTATGACTTGAGTCCATCCATCAAGCCTCAAACCTTCTTGGTCTCAGCACATTAGACCCAGATGAACCAAGGCATGATAGTGAAGGGGTAAGTGTTTTGAATAGAATGGGGCCGGATTGCTGCTTTGTATTATCTGCGTGGCTACAGATAAGTTACGTAACCCCTTTGAGCTCTTCTATTTCCTTGTTTGTGAAACAGGGTTAATAGTAGCATTCCTCCCAGAGATCCTTTAGGGTTTAGGAGATAACCCAAGGACGGGACTGGCACCTGGTTGTGAAGGCAGCAGAAGCTGGTTCCCGCCCTGTCCCCATCAACTGTCTCACTGGGCAGAATTCCTGGGTTTGGAGCGAGCAGGGGACTGGCACTGGTTAACTAAAGTAACAAGAGTTTCTTCCTCACCTTCCTCCCAACTCACCAGTCCTTATGCCTCTTTGTGTACTTAACTCTTATCTTTGACCTCTTGTATCTCCTTTGCCTACCTTTCACATTCTCACCCGCCTTCTGTCATTCCTTCTAACTGTCAACTCTGGCTCTTATCATAATCTCCAGGAAACATCTTAGAACCTCTGAGAACTTAAAAGACCTTAAGGCCCCCAGACCCATTTCAACAGAGGGAAACTCTTGCCTTTCTTAAGACCACCCTCTGAAGGAGCAATTGATGAAAACAAACAGGGATGGTGGTGGTTGGGAGGGGGAAGAAATGAAACAAAACACTCACGACTTAAGATTTGGCTCAATGATATATTTGCCAGTTATTTTATTTTTTTCTAAAAACAATAGAAAAAAAAATCAACTTTAAAAAGCAAAATGTACTTAAATAAAAAAAAATTAGAGTTTATAGTACCTGTAATACTAGGTACTATATACTAGGATTGAAATTCCGTGTGGCTGCTATAAACGTTTTATTAAAGTTATTTACATTTAATGGCAATATTTACAGAGAAAAATTGTGTAAATCTTAAAATTTTTTAAAAACAATTCTTAAATACAAATCTGTTAAAGAAAAAAAAAAAAAAGATGGTAAGCATAAAAAAGTTCTTTTATGCCCAAAGTCCAATTTGAGGCAGTTTACATTATGGCTAAATCTTTCAGTCTCAAGACTCAGCCAAGGTTGTGAGGTTGCATTTGATCATGCATTTGAAACAAGTTCATAGGTGACTGATTGGGACAGCTCTGTTAGAAGGAATCTTTTTCCTTACTTTTCCTTATGCACAAGAGTTCCGTAGCTGTTCAAGTTTGTGTTTCAACTGTTCTCGTCGTTTCCGCAACAAATCCTTTTCAGAAATGAGCTTTTGCTCCTCTGCTTGGACGGACAGGATGTATGCTGTGGCTTTTTTAAGGATAACTACCTTGGGGGCCTTTTCATTGTTTTCCAACTCCGGGATCTGGTCACGCAGGGCAAAAAAGCTCCGTTTTAGCTCGTTCCTCCTCTGGCGCTCCAAGACGTTGTGTGTTCGCCTCTTGACATTCTCCTCTGTGTCCGAGGACCTGGGGCTGGTGCATTTTCGGTTGTTGCTGATCTGTCTCAGGACTCTGACACTGTCCAACTTGACCCTCTTGGCAGCAGGATAGTCCTTCCGAGTGGAGGGAGGCGCTGCGTAGTTGTGCTGATGTGTGGAGACGTGGCACCTCTTGAGGACCAGTGGGCTGTGAGGAGGTTTGCTGTGGCCTCCAGCGGAAGGTGATCCCGACTCTGACCTTTTGCCAGGGGCCTGCCTCTTTTCCACAGAAACAACATCGATTTCTTCCTCATCTTCTTGTTCCTCCTCTTTAAGAAAGGAAATAAAAATCACTCAGCAAGGTTTCATTAAAATAATCAATTACCAGATTAACGCTGTACAAATACAAAGCATTAATATGTTAGAAAGGTCTCTGGACAAAATTATCTCCACAAAGAGCCAAATCTAGGCTGGGCGCCGTGGCTCACGCCTATAATCCCAGCACTTTGGGAGGCCAAGGTGGGTGGATCATGAGGTCAGGAGACAGAGACCATCCTGGCCAACATGGTGAAACCCCATCTCTACTAAAAATATAAAAATTAGCCTGGCATGGTGGTGCACACCTGTATTCCCAGCTACTTGGGAGGCTGAGGCAGGAGAATCTCTTGAACTAGGGAGTCGGAGGTTGATTGCACCACTGCACTCCAGCCTGGTGACAGAGTGAGACTCCGTCTTAAAAAAGAAAAAAAAAAAAGAAAAAAGAAAAAAGAAAAAAGAACCAATCTAGCTAGCCACTCTTACTTCTCTCACCATGAAGGTAAGAGTCTCATAAAGGGAGAAGGACAGCTGGGTTATGGCACAGACAAGAAAACTACACTTTCCCAGGATATGACATTGATGCCAATTCTTACCTAAGACTTAATGAGGCTTTGGACACACCCAAAGCAAAGCACATTCCCAAGCACCTCCTATTTTTAAGGTACTGCACCAAGAACACTTCAGGTGTTGCAAATGATAGCTACAAATTGCTTGGTATGACTTTAGCAACTACCTATTTTACTGGAAACGAAAAAGAAAAAAAAAATTGCAGTTTTGCCAGAAGTCCAAGAGGGTGGGGGAAGGAAAAAAATTAAAAAAAAAAAGTCCAACTTTGGCAAGGATTTGCTTTTCAGTGTTCAAAACAGGCTGAGAAGATCCCAGCTCCTCAGTCCACCCACTCTTGAGGAAGTTCACTGGCTCCCGCACTCAGGCAGGCCCTGCCTGGCCTCTAAACACAGCCTCTCATTTTTGTAGATAGTTCATTAAATCCCACCACTTCTCGGAAGTTAAGAGGGAAGCAATTCATTCACTCTCTCAGAAATCAATCCTCTCTTATCCTCATTCACACTCTCCCCCCCACCCCGCCCCTGGGCAATTAAAATGCTAACGGGAGGTAAGAAGAAGTGGATTGAGTTGTAAGATAAGCCAGAAGGTTTAAAAACCTAAATGAAATTCCTGAGGTGTGGGAGACAAAGGGGGAGGGGGGTTAGCAACAAGGGCGGTCTAAGGATAAGGGATGGGAGGAAACGCTAAAGCCCAAGGTTTCAGAGGTGAATCTCTCCAGATCTGCTCTCTCTCCCTTCTAGTAAGAGGGGCCCGTTGAATAAGCTGCCAATGGAAATGGGAAAGATATCCAGCAGCCCCACTTTTGACAGGCCTGGGCGGGCTTCGCTTACCAGAATCGCTGCTGGTGGTGGGCGGTGTCTCCTCATGGAGTACCAGGGGTTCTGGGCTGGCCTGCGGGGAGGACTCCGTCGAGGAGAGCAGAGAATCCGAGGACGGTGAGAAGGCGCTGGAGTCCGGTGAGGCGCAGGACTTGGGCGAGCTGCTGTCGTTGAGAGGGTAGGGAAAGACCACTGAGGGGTCGATGCACTCCGAGGCGGCGGCGCTCAGATCCTGCAGGTACAAGCTGGAGGTGGAGCAGACGCTGTGGCCGCGGGCAGGGTTCGGGCTGCCGCTGTCTTTGCGCGCAGCCTGGTAAGAGGCTAGCTTCTCTGAGACGAGCTTGGCGGCGGCCGAGAAGCCGCTCCACATACAGTCCTGGATGATGATATTTTTGATGAAGGTCTCGTCGTCCGGGTCGCAGATGAAGCTCTGGTTCACCATGTCTCCTCCCAGCAGCTCGGTCACCATCTCCAGCTGGTCGGCCGTGGAGAAGCTCCCGCCACCGCCGTCGTTGTCTCCCCGAGGGGAGAAGGGCGTGACCGCAACGTAGGAGGGCGAGCAGAGCCCGGAGCGGCGGCTAGGGGACAGGGGCGGGGTGGGCAGCAGCTCGAATTTCTTCCAGATATCCTCGCTGGGCGCCGGCGGCTGCAGCTCGCTCTGCTGTTGCTGCTGGTAGAAGTTCTCCTCCTCGTCGCAGTAGAAATACGGCTGTACCGAGTCGTAGTCGAGGTCATAGTTCCTGTTGGTGAAGCTAACGTTGAGGGGCATCGTCGCGGGAGGCTGCTGGAGGGGGCACACAAAGCGGGAGGCAGTCCTGAGTTAAAGGGCTCTTGGCGCAGAAACCTGGCGCAGCGCGCAGTGCGCGCCACAGTGCGGAACCACTCCCCTTGCAGAACTATCCCCTAAAGCGGTTGGGTGGTCTTGGTGGGGGAAAAAGGGGGGCGCCCTTTCACCTCCTTTGGGCAGTCCCCTACTATCTCGGACACGCACTTAGTGAACCAGCGGCTTGGTGCCCGCCGAGCCCCCGCCCCCGAGAGCCCGGAGCGTAAAGCCCGGGAGTCGGCCACGCAGCGGCAGAGGACTCGAAACCGGCCTTGGCCCCCTTAAGAAGCCGCGGGAGGTGGCGGTGAGGAATACAATTTGCCAAAACCCAAGGCACAAAGTTTTGCGCCACCTGAAGGAGAAGGCGAGAGGCGCCTCGGCGCTAGCGGCTGCGTGCACCCCGCTCCCGCGCCGGGGCCCCTCCGCGGCGGCTGTTCCCACTCGCGCCCTCGCTGCGCTCCTACCCCCGCCGGCGCCGCAGGCCCTCCCAACCTCCCCTTTCCACCGCCCCATCCCTACCCCCAGTCCCCCCGTCCCCCCCGCCCACCCCACAAACACTCCTTCATGTGCCGGCTTTTCTTCTCTTCTCTGGCCGGCTGGAGTGGCGAGCTCAGCCGCGGGCTTTAACACCCGCCATAAATACAAGGGGGGTGTCAAATAATAACAGGGGCACCTCCCTTCGCACTCAATACGGCGACGCAACTGCGCCAGAGACCCTGCTGCGATACCTCACCCGGAGCCACCCCACCAAGGGTAGCAGCTGTTCTGGAACAGCCTAGAGCCCCGCTCCTCGCAGTTCCTCCGCATCTCAGGGGCGCGAGGACACCCAAGGGCGGCCGCGGCAGGGGAGTCCGGGCTGGGTGCGGAGATTTGCCCTGGTTTTTCCAAGTCAACGATTCCAGGAGAATCGGACACATCTCCGCCTCCCTTTTCCCCTGTCTGTGCCTCCCCAACACCACATCCTAACATCTCTGGCTTCCGAGGTTTTAATTTGTATTATTGCTTTTTAAAAAGCCAACTGCCAACTCCTTAAAAGGATCAGGGCGAGTTGGAATCGCCGCGGGGACAGGCGGGTGGGACGCGCCGCAGTGTCCGTCTCCGGCTGTCAGAAATGCGGTGAGCCGAAATTTAAATGCCCTCCCGGAGACGGGGAAAAGTCAGCGGCTGCGGAGCTCTCTGGCTCACACAGGCAATATGCGGTCCCTACTCCAAGGAGGTCAGGATGCAAGGGGCTTTCTGCCCACCGCAAAGCAACCCCCAGCCCCCCAAAACTCAGCCAGCAATTAACCCAATAAAGCAGGAATGTCCGACCGGCCGGGAGTCAGCGTGAATATATTCAAGACGCAGAAATCTCGAAAGGCTAGTCTTAAAAACCATTCCCGTTTTCCCTCTGCCGTCTCCTCTCCCATCTTGACAAGTCACTTTATCCCGATCCAGTTCTGGATTAACCCCCTACCCCAGCCCAAGCTACCACAACTACTCTGAGAAAAGTGTCAATAGCGCAGGAATGGGAGAAAAGACACCCTATTTCGGCATTCGACTCATCTCAGCATTAAAGCGATACAAAAATAAATTAAAAGACAAATGGACCTCGGTGCTTACCTGGTTTTCCACTACCGGAAAAAAATCCAGCGTCCAAACAGAGGCAAGGAGAGCCTTTCAGAGGAGCGGGTCCTGGCAGCGGCGGGGAAGTGTCCCCAAATAGGCAGAATAGCCTCCCCGCGTCGGGAGAGTAGCGTCCTTGCTAGGGTGTTGTAAGTTCCAGTGCAAAGTGTCCGCCCCCTGCTATGGGCAAAGTTTCGTGGATGCGGCAAGGGTTGCGGACCGCTGTCTGGGGGGTCAGCGGGAGGGCTGGGCCGGAGGCGAAGCCCCCTTTTCGCTCCGGATCTCCCTTCCCACGACGCCCGGAGCGCAGCTCTGCTCGCCCGGATCTTCCACCCTCGCCGGCCCGCCCGCTCGCTCCCTCTGCCTCTCGCTGGAATTACTACAGCGAGTTAGATAAAGCCCCGAAAACCGGCTTTTATACCTCAGCGCGATCCCTCCCTCCGTTCTTTTTCCCGCCAAGCCTCTGAGAAGCCCTGCCCTTCTCGAGGCAGGAGGGGAGCCAGGGACTGCCGGGAGCCGGCAGTGGCGGCCGCGAGCAGCACAGCTCGGGGGTCCTCCGCCGCGCAGACCCTCGCATTATAAAGGGCTTGTGGGCGGAGATTTGCGAGAGAGGATCTTTTTTCTTTTCCCCCACGCCCTCTGCTTTGGGAACCCGGGAGGGGCGCTTCTGAGGAGAGTGGGGAGGGTGGGGAGGAGACTCAGCCCGGCAGCCGAGCACTCTAGCTCTCGGATGTAAACAGAGTAAGAGAGCCGCATGAATTAACTGCGCGCGCCTACCATTTTCTTTTGCTCCTGCTCAAACCCTCTCGCTTTCTCTGCTGCTCCTCCGTAGCAGCACTGTTTGACAAACCGCATCCTTGTCCTGTGAGTTTAAATCATCGCAGGCGAAAGAGCTGCCCTTCACACCGCGAACACACTGCGCGCCCACCGCCACGCCACGCGCGTACCAGGCGGTAGGGCGCCTCGCTAAGGCTGGGGAAAGGGCGGCGCTTTGATCAAGAGTCCCAGGGAGAGTGGAGGAAAGAAGGGTATTAATGGGCACGCGTTCAGAGCGTGGGATGTTAGTATAGATAGGGAGGAATGATAGAGGCATAAGGAGGAAAACGATGCCTAGAATGATTAAAATAACTCAGCAAAGCATTGCCACGTATACTTGGAGAGCACGTTATGAATAAACTCCCATTGCATTTGTTGGGGGGTGTCATGCATTATGCATTATGTATGCACAGCTATCTGGATTGGATACCTTCCATCCAGACTGAGTCCCCCAATTTGCTGCCAAAGCAGCAGATACCGCCCCTCCTGCCCCGCCTGCTCTGGCTTCCGTGGGGCCCCGTGCGGGAGGCGTCTGTTTAGCCCTGAGATGTGTCTGCCTGTTCCAGAGCTGGACTAGGGCGGGAGGGAGGTTGCCTGCTCTCTGCCAGCCTGTACCCCACCGTCCCACCCCCGCGCCGCTCACACGGAGTTCCCAATTTCTCAGCCAGGTTTCAGAAGAGACAAATCCTCTTTGCGCCCTGTGGCGCCGGTTTGCACCAGTCTCGGGCTCCCGGGTTTGGGAGAAATCAAAGGCGCTAGACAGGAGAATATGGGAGGGGCAGGGGGGACCCGAACCGCGGGACTGGACTTCCTAAAAGGGGCAAGTGGAGAACTTGTGGACCGAGCAGGGGGAGTCAGCAGAGACCCTTGTGAAAAAAACCGTTAACTCTTTACTCCCCGGACAAACCAGACGTTTAATTCCTTTCTAGGTCCTCTTTCCCTTTTTATTATTGGAAACGTGGTCATGCACAAAAAAACGCATCAATTCTGATCAAAGAGGAGGAGAGGAGTATTACTTCCGTGCTTTTTTTTGGGGGGGAGAGAGGGGGTCTTGAGCTAATTAAAATTTGGCTGTCTTTCAGGCATTAATTTCCTAGTTCACTGACTCAATTTTTTTTTCCTGAATACTAGTGAAAGTGCATTGTATGTAATCCGCAAACATGTATTCACATTTTATTCACACTTCGACTTAGCTAGTTGCCCAGCCCGACACATGATTTGTTTGTTCCCTGAAATGATCTATATTTAATATATAATGCATATTCCCTCGGGATTTTTTATTTTGTGTTTTTCCACGGCGTGAAAAACAAAAAACATTCTTCTCATCCTTGGGCCCTCACCCAAATGCATTTTAAGTAAACTTTTCTCTCCCTCCACCACCTCCAAAAGAGACAACAATTCGGGGGAAAGGGGTGCGTGTATAGCATGTACGCTGTTCAAGATGGGTTATTACCCGTTGAGTTTGCAGCTCAGCGTTCTAGTGTTAAGTGACTATAATAGCTTCCCCCAAATCCGACGCACTGCACAATTCAGCTTTAAGGATTGCAAATTACTTCTGCCTCTAGGCCTTTGCCGCAAACGCCGGGGAGCAACCAATCGCTAGGCTCGATTTTGCTGCAAAGCGTCTTTCCCTCCGCCCCCTCTCTGGGCTGTACCCGCGTTCAGGTTTGCGAAAGTAAAGTAAGTGTGCCCTCTACTGGCAGCAAAGATCACCGCGCCTGGATGTCAACGAGGGCGGGGGTCAGGTGGGGGCAGGAGTAGGGGCGTCCGAGGTGCAAGGTTTCCAGCGGGGGAAGGACAGTTGGTTCCTTAAAACAAGTTTCCAGCCACCTCCTTGTTATTCTTTCAGGTTCGCTGCAGAAGGGCCGAAGAAGGAGGAGTTATCGGAGGAAAAAGTGGTTCAGAGGTGACGATTCAACCGCATAAGAGATGGTGAAAATTAACCTATCACTACTTACTGCTAATGAACATCGCCCTATGGAGAACCGGTTATGGCAAACGTGAAATAATTCACAAGTACACAGACGAAAAAATATTCCAACAAACCCTAAAACAGCCAAACAAGCTTTAGCCCCCACGTCTTAGAAACTCATCATCTTTTTTAACCACCAAATTTGAAAGCAAGACACTGGATTTATAGGGGAAAGGGGAGGCACGGCAGAAGGTGATGGGTATTTGATTTTGCCTATTATTAATTATCAATAATAGTTATTATTTTTGAGACAGGGACTCCTTCTGTCACCCAGGTTGGAGTGCAGTGGCACAATCAAAGCTCACTGCAACCTTGATCTCCCAGGCTCAAAGCGACCCTTCCACCTCAGCCTGATACCCCAGCCCAGTAGCTAGGAGTACAGTGCGCCACCACACCCGGTTAATTTTTTAAACTTTTTGTAGAGAGGCAGTCTGGTCATGTTGCCCAGGTTGGTCTTGAACTCCCGGGTTAAAGCGATCCTTCGGCCTTTGCCTCTGAAAGTGCTGGGAATACAAGTGTGAGTCACTGCTCCTGGCCTTGGTTTATTATTTTTACTTTTAAAATATTGGGCTCGTGAATAATAAGTGGTTGTTTTAATAGCAAGAAGGGGTATTTGAGATCTCATAGAAAAAAAGTGTGAAGGAATAGGACCATTTTATTAAAAGTTTTAATACTAAAATGAGTATGCAGTAAGGTTGAAGTAAATGTGAAGGAAATTTACCTGGCATGTGTCCCTGGTCAAGTAGGTTTTTACTGGGCAAAGAATCCCTGATGGTGTCTGATCACTTAGATGCCCTCAGGACTTCTGGCAGTGGCGGGTCCTTCCTGCAGGAGCCTTGTAGGCTGATTTCCCAGGAATCTGGCACTTTTGGCATTACTCTAATTGAAGCTAAATGAGTGCTCTCCACAGGGGCACACACTCCCCCCCCCACCTCAAAGAAAACCCTCAACAACAAACAAACAACAATCACAAAACCAAAAGTAGGTCCAGCTTGACCTCATAGGGTAGTGTTTGAAAGTTGCTAAAGATGGCAGATATACCATATCTTCAGATCTGACTCTCAAATTATGCCAGTTCAGTGTAGCGTATGTGAATCCCAGGCAGATATAATGCCTGTGGGTTCAGGACTCAACCTCACTCTCCCCCAGGCTGGTGACATCACCTGAGGTGTTACTTTCAAGTCACAACTTGGAGTTGTTTTGTGTCATCTCCATTTTCACAGGAGAGAAAACAAAGTCAGACCTCAACCAGGTTAAAGGACATAACTGATTTTCTTTTAGTAATATTTGAGACGTATTTGACCTAGAATAGATATTTGCTGGGTTGAAAAATGGCTGAGATTACAACTGGTATATATGATTACCAAAGTGCTACATGTCCATTGGAAAAATCCATTGAGAAACAGAAAAAGAAAGGAAAAGACTGTATGTGGTGGCTTATGCTTGTAGTCCCAGCACTTTGGGAGACACAAGTGGGAGGATCGTTTGAGGCCAGGAGTTTGACAACAGCCTGGGTAATGTGGTGACATGCCATCTCTAAAAAAAAAAAAAAAAAAAAAGAAAGAAAAGAAAAGAAAGAGTGTTTCCTCTTAATTTTTTTTTTTTTTTTTTAAATTTAAAGACAGGGTCTCACCCTGTAGCGCAGGCTGGAATGCAGTGGAACGATCATGGCTGATTGCAGCCTTGATCTCCCTGGGCTCAGGTGATCCTCCTACCTGAGCCTCCTGAGTAGCTGGGTCTACAGACACACACCCCACACTTGGCTACGTTTGTATTTTTGGTTTTTTTTTTTTGCAGAGATGGGAGTCTCACTATGTTGTCCAGGCTGGTCTCAAACTCCTGGACTCAGGTGATTCTCCTGTCTTAGCTTAAGTGATTCTTCTGCCTCAGCCTTCCGAAGGCATGAGCCACCACACCTAGTCTCTTCTCCTTCTTCTTCTTCTTTTTTTAAAATAGAGATACATTTTTGGTAGAGATGAGATCTCACTGTGTTGCCCAGGCTTGGTCTCGAGCTCCTGGCCTCAAGAAATCTTCTGGCCTCAAGCAATCCTTCTGCCTCAGCCTCCTGAGTAGATGGGGTTAGAGGCATGAACACTTGGCCTGAAAGTGGTTCTTAATCCTGACCAGTCAGAGGTAGTTGATGAAGTTTATCTTTTATGAAGACATTTTAGGGACACCCTTGGTCTTTCACCTCCAATTTTTTTTTTTGGAAGACCATGGAAAGTGTCTTCTGACTGATTGCCCCTTGCTTGTTGCTCTAGCAGCACTCTTTTGTGTTGGCTCCCCCTCTTATTTGGAGCTGCTATTGAGTGGTTTGGGCTTCTAAGAAAAGGCAAGTCTCCTGGAGGGCCGAGGTTGGGACTTCAGGCCAACAGTCTGATGGGGCGGCCTCACGGAAGAGACTAGTGTGTCGCTAGAGGAAACATTTGTTCACATAGGAAGGTACAAATAAGAATCATTCATTCTTGGCTGTGCGCGGTGGCTCATGCCTGTAATCCCAGCACTTTGTGAGGCCGAGGTGGGCAGATCATGAGGTCAGGAGTTCGAGAACAACCTGACCAACATGGTGAAACCCCTGCTCCACTAAAAATACAACAATTAGCCGGGGGTGGTGGAGCACGCCTGTAATCCCAGCTACTGAGGGGGTTGAGGCAGGAGAACCTCTTGAACCCGGGAGGCAGAGGTTGCAGTGAGCCGAGATCGTGCCATTGCACTCCAGCCTGGGCGACAGAGCGAGACTCTGTCTCAAAAAAAAAAAAAAAAAAAAAAAAAAAAAAGAATAATTCATTCTCACAATCATATAGTCTCACAGTAGTAATCATATCACTTTTATACTTAGGAAAAAAGAAAGAAGTGCAGAAAGAACGAGTAATTTGATTAAACTTTCTCCTTTCTCCCCAGAGACACAAAAGGGGACATTCAGAATGTGTGACTTATATAAAATAACATGAGTTTCCCCTAACCCCAACACCTTCTTTGAATATCTCTGTCCCCACCTCTCAAAAATTTCCTACTGAGTTGGTCCTCTAGTGATAAGAGCAGTTAATAATATGGAAAGCAACGGACATGGTGATGAAAAAGCCAGCGAACTTGGGGGTGAGACTGAAGCCCCTCAGGGTGGCTGACTGAGCTGTTATTTTTAAAATTCCTTCAAGTCACATGCAGCCTGTCAAGAGGTGAGGTGAAGGAAGAGAATGATAAATATCTATCTCCAGTGGAAAGATCATTTTGAAAGAAGGGCTGTTAGATTAAAAACCAAGCTAGCCAGGGAATGTTAAAGAAAGAGAAGTTCTCACAAGCATTTTAATGCCAACCATGTGTTCCAATGAGAGGAACACAGGAAAGCTCTTCAGCAGATGAGAAAATGATATTCGGCATCACTATTTC